TTTTCTGGTTTTATTGAGATAAAATTGATGTACAGCACTGTAAAAGTTTCAGGTGTTCAGCATAATGAATTGACTTAGATACATTGTGAAATGATTACCACAATAAGTTAGTGAACATCCATTGTCTCATACAGATAGAAAATTAAAGTAGAAAAAAGTATTTTTCCTTGTAATGAGAACTCTTAAGATTTACTCTGTTAAGAACTTTTATATAACATAAGCAGTGTTAGTTTTATTTATCACATTGTACATTATATCCCTAGTACATACTTATAACTGCAAGTTTATACCTTCTGACTGCCTTTATGTAACCCCCATTTTTTTTTTAAATTCCAACCGATTTCACCATTTTTAAGTTACAATAACATGCTACAATTACAGGACAACTCTATGACTCCTCTTTAACCTTCTGGCTTTAATTTTCATTTGTGTATTATAAATTTACTGTTTATTAGTAATAAAACTGTCAGGAAAAAAATGAGCAAACTATTTTTCTCCCTAAACTACATTTTAAAATGATGCAAAATACTGATAGATTAGTATATATTAATATATATATATTACTTTTTGTATTGACAGCAGGAGTTTCCTATAAGATACATTCCAATTTCAGAGATGTTAAAGTATATTTTTAAAATGCCTCTTAGAATTTAGTGGCATATAGTAAGTAGAGCTAAATTTATAATATAGATCAGTTGGTTTTTAACATAGCATATTCCAAACTGGTTGTAGTAATAGGAGGACTAAATTAAGGATGGAAACCCACATATGATTGGAAGATAGTTTTAGGCTATGCATTGTATCCTTTTGCCTACCTAGAAGAAACTTTCTATTAATAAACTAGACAAAAACGGAATAGCAGTGCTCCTCCTACTTTCTTAGTGTTTTATTAAACTAGTAGGTAAAAGGGTAGAGCAGTGATTCTCAGATGAGGGAACATCAGTTCTGCTACACTGTATTGAGCGGTAGCCCAGACCATTGCTATTACAATTATTTTTAAAGCTATCTTTTATTGATTATTACTATGTGTAAGGACTCTTGAGGGAAATTACCACATTTCATATGCCAGTCACTGTTTGAGGTTCTGGGGATATAATAAAAGACAAACATTGTCATTTTTGTGGAGTTTAGGTGGTTGTATATCCATCTCACAACCTTACCGTATAGGCATTACTGTCTCCATTTTCCCTGTAAGGAAAGTGAAGCTCTAAAAGGGTTCATAACTTGGCCAAAGATTATACAAAATCAGGATTTAAAATGTAGATGCTATGAACCACTGTGCTATGCTGTCAAAATTGTCCCTCTTTGGGGTTCAGTGAATGAGAACAATTGTTTTTAGTGACTCAAACAACAATTATCATAACCCCTTTGAAATTCTGATATAACTCTACCCATCTTAAAATTATGCATGAAATTTTAAAAACTGAACTAATGGCCATTGCCAGCCAATCAGAGTTGGCATTCATAATGAAATCCTTTTTTTATCCTTGGCTTAGAATCTGTAAACAGTTTTTCAAAGCTGGTGTAGTAGAAGGTATAGATTTGAAAAATAGGTATTAGTTCCAATCTTGGCTTTTTTTTTTTTTTTTTTTTTTAAGGAAAAGGCTATCCCAAGAGTTGGTATTTAGTAGGATTTAAATAAAAATATTTTACTTTTTTATCCATATAAGGAAATATTGGCAAAAAAATCAATGAAGGAGGATGACTTACTTCATTTGTGGTTTCTTCTTATCAGTGTTGCTTGTTAGAAAGCTGCTTATTGGTTAGTTAAATGTGTTTTGTCACTGTGTTTTTGTATTTGAAAGTCTGTTGATGATTTTCATATTTCCCACTTGAAAATTTGAAATGTTTTCAATTTCCTGTGAACTTAGGGCTCTGCAGTTAAAATTCTTGTTTGTGTTACTAAAATTAAATTGATATATGTTATTTATAATTACCACAGGCTGGAAACAAACCAAAATATCCATGAGCTGGTGAATGGATAAAGAAAATATCATTTATATCCATACTGTGCTTTTTATCAATAATAAATAGAAGGAACAAATTACTAATAAAGCAGTAATATGGGTGAACCTGTCTCATTCTAGCGATAAGTAATACTATGGATATATGAAGCAACTGGCAAGAAAGAAGGACCCTGTCATCTCATTAAGAAATGTAATTCCCCAAAATGTTTACTTTTTATATATGTACAAGTGTCCTTGTTCACAGCTTCCCATTTCTTAGAAAACAAAAGCCTTTTGGTTTAGTTTTTTTTTTTTTCCCTAGCTATTACTTTGTGAGGATCTCAGAAAATGCTCGACTATTGTAGATTTTCTAATTTTTCATTTTCAGTTTCTTGTTCAGCTCTTTAGACCATTTGCAGAAAGAAGGAACATGTCTCTCTTTAAAATTTCCTGAAGTTAATTTTTTTATTTTGTTTCCTGTGTTCATTTTGTTTACAGTTTTAAATGTTGACCAGTCTACCCCTGAAATAGTATATTTCCTAAATAGGTTCTTCTATTTGGTTTTTTTGTTTTTTTTTTTTTTTAATATGCTGGACTGTTTGAATCTGGTCTTTACTGTCCTCCTGCTCTTAATCTCTTTCTTCTATGATAAAATTAAGTACTTAGTAATTCAGTTGGGATTCTACAACAAATTTCTGTTCGTCTATCTGAGATTTAGAAAAATCTTTAAACATAACTCCAACTAAATTCTAGACCAGTTTTTAAATTCAATTTCTACAGCTCTGACTTCTACTCTAGCAATTTAAGAGACTGTTGTTTAGTAGATTTTTCCTTTGCTAAGAAACCCTCAAGAAAGGTAGTGCATTTCAGTGGTATGGTCAAGGAGTAAGTGGAATAGAAAGGCATTGTGGGAAGTATAAAGAGACAGTGGTTCAGGGCAAGTAGGTTTCCAAAGGTGTGAGCAGTGGAGGTAAAGGAAGGCTGTCTCAGTCATCTTGTTTTGGATCTTTGGAATACCAATTAGAGGAGTTGATGATTGAATGTTATTTTTTTTCTCATAATTTTCCTGTGTTTCTAATTCCTCTGAAAGTGTTAATTTTTACTTTTTAAAAATTGGCCATAAGTCCTCTTGTTAGGCTGTAATTGTCAAAGTCCCCATTTTTGTAATTTACCGATGTAAGTGCACGAGTTGAGATTATATTGGAAGTTTATAGAAGACACAGAAGTTTTTCCTAGAAAAGGTATAGCCTTGACAAATAAGAAAGAGATCACTAGAGTCAAAAAAATGGTGTTGGGGTAATTAACTGGGGAAGAGACACATTGGGAACTGTTTGGATAATGGAAGTGTTTTAAATGTTAATGAGAGTTGTGTTTGAGGTTGGAGGGTATTGGCACATGCCAAAATTCATTTAACTGTATGCTTAAGATCTGCTTTTTTACTGGATGTAAATTATTCCTCAATATGATATAAAGTGAAAGTGAAAGTAAGTTAAAGTAAAGGTCGCTCAGTTGTGTCTGACTCTCTGCGACCCCATGGACTATACAGCCCATGGAATTCTCCAGGCCAGAATACTGGAGTGGGTAGCCTTTCCCTTCTCCAAGGAAATTTCCCAACCTAGGGATCGAACCCAGGTCTTCTGGGTCTCTTTCATTGCTGGGAGATTCTTTTACCATCTGAGCTACCAGATAGATAAAACACAGGATTTCTTCCAAGAGTATGGACTAGAAGGAAAGAACATATAAAGAGGTTTAATACAAAGAAATATGTCAAAGTGAGTCCATTCTAATAGACTGACTTTCAGAAGTAAGAGGCTATCAATAATAGGCTGGTCACAGAAGCATATTCACTAAAGTAAATGGTTATTGGTGGGTTAAATGTGTTCAGACCAGTCGTGGTATTGTGTTACTATAAGTAAGGAACTGTCATCTCTTGATTGAAGAGGATTTAAAGCCTGGTCTGGTGGCTACTTCTGTACTATAGCCATTGGCAAATTACTTTTTTTCTAGAAATGTGGGAGCTTTATATTCTCATGTTATTCCCCATCCTGAAAACTTTCAGGATCTTCTTTCTCTCTCAGTAGTAAGCTGAAATTTTAAAATGATGAGCCTTGGTATGGATTGTTTCTTTTGGGTTTTATGTTTATTTGATTTCCCCTGTTTCATCATACTGAAAACTCAGTAGACTTTTATCAGTCTGGACACTCATGTTCTTGAGATTTAACTTTTGATTCCTGACTGTTTTCAGTCTCTGTGGCACCCCATCCACACACCGCCCTCAACCTTCTGTCACAGACGTGCACACAGACTTCAGTAATAGATATTTGGTCAGCTTTCTCTGCTGACTCATTTACCATTTATGTATCTCAGAGGCCATCAAGTTTTTTCTGTGAATGCTTCGTGTTAATAGTAAATATTTTAGACTCTGTGGACCAGATAGCTTGTGTTATAAGGACTTAATTCTGCCATTACAAGACAGCAGCCACAGACAATACACAAATGAATGGATGTGGCTGTATTTCAATGAAGCTTTATGTACAAAAACAGGGAGTTGGATTTGTTTGCAAATCCCTCCTGTATCCTGTTCATCTTTACCAGAAAGTTAGCTCAGTTGAGGGCAGGAATTTTATTTGCTATTCATTGGAGATATCCTCAACTACTTGTGATTCAGGATTGCAGGTGGTTCAGAAAAGGAGATAACATGTCTGTCACTGCCATCTTTTCGCCAATAGAATACCCCTTCGTGCAGTTTTTCAGTCCCCCCCTTTTTTCTTGATAGAGTAAGTATTTTATAATAACTGAATATAGGATAGGGCTAAGAATCATGTCTAGAATTCTGCAATTTCTTTCTTCTGATGTTTTATAAAGAGCCCTACCAGTAGCATCCTTTAGTAAGTTTGTTTATGAAATGCTCCATCTTAGTATGGTATAGTAGTCATTGTAAATAAATGCTTGCATGTTTTGTTTATATAAGAAGCACATGAATGCAAAGATGTTACTTAAGAATTCTTTCTTTCTTTTTTCTTAATAAGGTACTAGCTTTTACAAGTTTGCACCATGCGTGAGTATAAGCTAGTCGTTCTTGGCTCGGGAGGCGTTGGAAAATCTGCTCTGGTAAGACATTCTAACTGTACCCAAGCTATTCACTGTTAAGACATGTTCTTTTTCTGTTGAGCATTAGGTTTTGCTTATTTTTTGTTAAGGTGAAATCTCATTGATTTTAGAAGTAATATAATATTTTTCTTGTAATCTAGTCAACTTTTAGTTGTATCTGGGTAGATCATATTCTCTCTGGAACATGGGTTCCAGACCAGAATACAGTTTGGACTTGAGCACATACAAATCTATGTCTCCGCATTTCAGAGCAAGATAGAAATAAATTTTGGTCAATTTCAGTGTGAGTTGGCTTAAAATATAAATTTTATGTTACAAAAATTAAATAACTTTTTTTTAAAACTTTTTTCAAAGTTTACCTTCATCCCACCATGTTTTTTATATCAAGAAATAGTTAAGAAAGAAGACACAACTTGACAGTGGTAGTTCGGAAGGGGAGAAACTTACGGGAAGTAACTTGGTGAATAGTTCAGAGTTTAGCAAAGCCTACCTTAAGATAGACTGACCATCTTACTTTGCCACTTATTTGTCACATGAACACCTAGCACAAAATTTGACTTGCTTGGATCAAACTGAGAAGTGTGTACAATGGAGTATGAACTGCGTTTTCATTTGTAAATATATCCAAAGTGATGGAGAGGCATTGTGAGTGTGCACATGTGTGTGTTCACCAAATAATTAGTCACTTTCTAACTAAAATTTGCATTTAAGCCCTAAAACTGAAATAGGAACCATTTAACAATTTTTAAATATATGAGCTCTAAATTTAGACCTACCCAACAAGAAATGTTATGATTATTAATTTTTTAAAAAGGCTTTCTGAAGTAATTTTCCCACCAAATACTTACGTTCAAAGGTAGTTGTGGCTGTTTTTTTAATCAGTCGTATGACTACTTATGTGAAATTAATGTTTTTGAATGTGCAGGCTTGGATTTGTTCTTTCTGAGGGAGTATAATGGTATGTTAATTTTTTTCAGACTGTACAGTTTGTTCAAGGAATTTTTGTTGAAAAATATGATCCTACGATAGAAGATTCTTATAGAAAGGTATGTTACTTTAGAAGGCCTTTGCTTTCAACTTTACTGTAAACATAAATTCTTGGTTTTAGCTTAATAAATATTAAATGTTGTCTATAGAGTATAGGATGAGGAGCAGAGTTAATTTATAAAATTAGTGGGGAGAACTCACATCTGATTATTTCCTGGCATTGCATGTTTACCATCTTATAAGAATCTTAATCACTCTTGCTTTATCTCTCTTTCTTGCTCACAAAGAATTTCGAGTTTACATTGACCCCCAAGTTGTAATTTGTTGCAATTTGACTTTAGAGTTGAGACATCCATTTCAGGTGGTAGTTCCATGTTTCTCCCCCATTTCTGCCCACCAAAGACTGAATACTGTCAGGCTCCTTGCTTTTCATATAAAGATGTAAGTACAAAAGTCTCCCTAACCTTCCTGTTTACAACTCCTTGAGAAAGTTCCACTGCTCGTAATAGTAGAAAAGTTTATTTCTATGTTCATTTATGTAACATGCGACAATAAAACTTAATATGCAGACATGTTTAATTTAGAAGGGAGAAGATATAATTTTATTTGATAGCTCTCCTTCCTTGCTACCAAAAATTTTGTTCCAGTACAGTGAAGGGAATGTGGTTATAAGCAAAGGGAAAGTATATTAAAGTATGGCAGAATTGATATAGTTAGTTACTTCTGACATTATTGGAACTATTACTGCATTAAATAAAAATATTTTGAGCTGATTTGAAATTATTTCCTCTCCAGAATTAAGTGCTGAGTGATTCACATTGAGGTTGGATCTTGTATATCTTGTAGATACCCTTATATTAAATTGAGAACTCACAGTTTTTACACTTAATACAGTTTGAGGATCAGTAGACCTTAGTTATCCAGCTATTTTTTTCTCCTGTTTTGTTAAAGTATGTATTACTTGAGATTAGTATCAAAGTTGCTATAATCTGTCTCTTTTAAATATCGTATTAATATTATACATATTAAAGTAGTCTTATATACAAGAAAACAATGAAGATCTACCTTAATTTTCCCCCTAGCAAGTTGAAGTAGACGCGCAGCAGTGTATGCTTGAAATCTTGGACACTGCCGGAACGGTATGTACAATAGTACCAACGTATATGCACAACTTAGGCAGTGTTGACCTTGTAAATGCTAGTGTTCTTACAGACAAACATTATTTAAAGTAAGGCTTGCATTAAATCTTAAAGCTGTCTTCCTTATCTTCTTGAATTCTTTTCTTGTGTGCATGGGTCATTTACTGAAGAAATAAGTAGATAATTTGTATGAAAGTTTTCATAGCTTCACTAGTACTTTTAAAGCAAGTTAGACTATATTTCCATATATTAAATAATGTGGGAAATACCTGAGATTCCTCAGTGACTGTGTGAAGTATTTTGAATAGTATCTTTCATCCTTCAATATATTTACAGAACAGCTAGATCTGATGGTATCTGAAGGTGAAGGGAAGATTTACTCTGGATGTGTGGTATTCATTCATCTAATGTTTGAGTACCTGATACGTGTCGTGGCTTGTATTCTTACACTCAAAAGCTTACAGTCTAGCAAAGGAGGAAAAGTGTGGGAAAATGGCACCATGTAGGTAACTTGCTGGTGGACCTTGGAGAACTGGAGCATTGTGAGCTAGCTGTGAGTAACTTGGTGATTTGATTTGGGTGCCTTCCATATGGTGTCTTGAAAAGCTGCCTTCAAACAGCATTTGAAGATGGGACATTTCCACTTGAGTGCATTTACTGCACATAAATCTGCTCTGGTATATTATTTTTAAATAAAACACTTATTTCTTGAAATACCAATTTTTCAAATAGCCATGGACTACAGTTTTAAGAGATGTTACGTAACACTACTACATTCTTCTTTGAGGTATAATTATAGACTTTGAAAATTGTCAGATTAACTGTCAAAACATTATTTTTTTAAAATGATCCTTTCTTTCACCTGTAGGAACAATTCACAGCAATGAGGGATTTATACATGAAAAATGGACAAGGCTTTGCGTTAGTTTATTCCATCACAGCACAGTCCACATTTAATGATTTACAAGATCTGAGAGAACAGATTCTTCGAGTTAAAGACACGGATGATGTAAGCTGGCTCCATAATAAATACATTTTCTTTCAAACCCTTATTGTAGTGATATCCAGTTTAAAAGTTTGAAATTAAATCCAATTTAAACTTCATCTATTTTGAGAAGTTTGTTTTTCAAAAGCTTTTTCTTTGAAAGGGAAAAACGTACCTTTAACACTGTATATAATGTAAAAAGTGATGTAACACTATATGTAATGTAAAAATACCTTCCTCCTGTGTGAAATAAAATTTATACCCTTCCTATTTTTTTCCCTTCATATTTTTAAATCTTGCGTTTGGTGGAGAAGGAGGAGAGGTGTCGGTGGCAAATATTACTAATAAAGCAGATGACATTCTGGTAGATTTAAGAGCCTTTTTAATAAGATAACAACGTGAACATATCTCAAGCAACTGTGACAGAAGGAGCAAGAAAGCCAACAAATTTATTCAATTCTAATGCTCTGTAGCATGCCCCTTCTGAGTACACCGTAATGGAGTTTAACCCTGTAGGAAACTTCAAAAGGATTTTTAAAATTCCTCATCACGCTATATATATAAACTCATCTTGCATCAGAATCACCTGTAAAGCTAGTTAAAACAGATTGCCAGGTCCCACTCCCAGAGTTTCTAATTCAGTAGGTTTGGAATAGGGCTTAGGAATTTGCATTTCTAACATATTTCCAGATGGTATTGATGCTGCTGGTCTGGGCATCACACTTTTAAGAACCACTGTACTATGTATAGTTTAATTATAGCAAATATTTTGAGAGCTTGGGAGCACCTATTAGAAATATCCTCATTTCCTGGACTTCTGAAGCAGGAGGACTTTGGGGGACCTTAACATAGAGCAACTTCAGTTGGTAAAGCTGTTTATCAGTGTCTCTGCTAACTACTATAGTTACATTAAACAGGTGTTTATTAGTATACTACTATATATCTGTTCCCAAAAAAGTCACAAATCTTGATTTTCTAGTTTGGATTTTTTCCAGAACTTCTTTGGAGAGCCAATCTCTAAAGGATTAATAGGAATTTTACAGAATAAGGATTATTTTTCCCTGTAGTGTCCAAAAATATGATTAATATGGTCTAGATTTTTAGTAAATTAAAGTGATTTTAATTTTTGGCTTTTAATATAGACTATATGAAAAGCTAAAAATTCTACCTTGAATTTTATCTACCTTCTAAATTTCTCCTTTTTTGTGTTATGAAACTGAGAATGAGTTATTTGATAAATACTTGTTAAGAAACCAGAAAATCTGAAATTGATTTGTGTCCTTTGGAGTAACACTTTAAAATTTTGGAATATATTTACTTTTTATGGTATTTCCTTTTGCATTTTCTTTTCTTTCTTTTGCATTTTTTCTTACTATAATTTGTTTGTGAGGGACTCCCTGGCAGTCCAGTGACTAAGTCTGTGCTTCCACTGCAAGGGCGTGGCTTCAGTCCCTGATCAGGGAGTTAAGATCCTGCAGGCTGCACCGGGTGCCTAAAATAAAAGTCCGTTTTGATACAGTTTTCATGGTCTTTCCTCCCTCTTTTATAAGTAGATCATAGCTTGTTTTCTAAAAAATGTATGTGAGAATTTTTAGTTAATTATTAATGCTTTTATATTTAACTGTCAGTTTTAGTACACATTATTAATTTAGTGTTTTTCTCTGGCATAATATAAAAACTAATCCTTGTGGTTGACTCTTAGAATTTTGATTTGAATTTATGTAGCATATTTGTTTACTTATTTGTTTTTACCCGTTTAGGTTCCAATGATTCTGGTTGGTAATAAGTGTGACTTGGAAGATGAAAGAGTTGTAGGAAAGGAACAAGGTCAAAATCTAGCAAGACAATGGAACAACTGTGCATTCTTAGAATCCTCTGCAAAATCAAAAATAAATGTTAATGAGGTATGGTGTAATAGAACTCTTGATTTGGAATTTAGCATTCAGAATTAATGGAAAATAATGTGTGTATTAACACAACCCCAAGTAATTAAGTATGTTAATTAACATGCTAACAAGCAGTAATACTATTTGAGCCTCTTTATTAAACACTGGTGGTACAGTAGAATTTACCGTAAAATGAAGTAAGTTTAGATGGAAAAGAATAAGGGTGGGGAAGACAGATTTAATCTTCAGATGTATGGACAAGGTTATGTAAAAGATGAAGACAAATTCAAGAAGGCATGAATGGCTCTTGCCTTCAAGGAACTTAAAATTATGTTGTAGAATAAGAATACATAGAGTCAAAGAAGAGCAAAGGATTGTTCTCTTCGGATGATGGTAAATGTTCTGACTAAACTGAGGTTTCTGCAGCTACTTAGTATTTACTTTAAGGAGAACGATGTCAGCCCTCCCAGAAAAGAAACAGAAAAGCACTTGACAATTACAAGAATACCTGGCTTTACTCTCATTCCTTAAATGAACAGGATATTTGCTTTTTGGAGAAGAGTTATGGAAAGTTCAATTTTTTCATTGTACTCTTTCACTTGTAGTTTGGGGGGGTTTCCCTGCAAATTAAAAAAAATTAATAAATGTTTGCAGATCTTTTATGACCTAGTGCGACAAATTAACAGAAAAACTCCAGTGCCTGGGAAGGCCCGCAAAAAGTCGTCATGTCAGCTGCTTTAATATACTAAATGCATTGTAGCTCTGAGCCAGGTATGTTAATTTACCTTTTCTTCTGTTTTGTTTCCTCTGATTTTTAACCTCAACTTTATTAAAGATCAAAAAAGCAAGTATAGAATTTTCTGTTGTAGAAAACAAATGGTTACTTCTACGAGTTAATATGATATCCTAGTAATTGAAATAATTATTTCACTTACATATGATCATCAGAAGTAAGGTATTCCACATAAGTATTCTAGATGAGTTTATCCAGTATAGACTCACATCTCAGTGAATCACTGGTTTGTGCTGACAACATAGTGATGATCAAAACCAATCTTCTCTGCTTTCCTCTTTGTTACCTTAAGCTAAGTAAGGTCTAGTGTAAAAGTCAGACAAACCATTGCAAAATATTATAAATGCTGTTGATGGAATAAATGCAGCATGATACTGATAATTAAAACCCCTGACATCATGTACCAAAGTACTGCCTATATGTTAGTTGAATTTTCACAACAATTCTGTGTGGCAGAATTATCATAATTCCCATATTACAGATGAGTGAACTGAGGCACAGAAAGATTGTTCAAGCCCTATAGTTAGTGAACAGCAGAGTCAGAATTGAATCTAATGATCTGAGTACATGGCTCAGAATTTGAACTCTGAACTGATTCCCAAAGTCCATAGTTAGTCACTATGCTATTATGGGTACTATCAAGAGTATTTAATTGGGGTATCAAACCAGTCAGATGTGAACTGTGGATTCAGGGAAAGTCTCAGAGTGAGAGCATCTAAGTTGAAATCTGATGGATAAGTAGAAATTAGAGGGTAAAGAGTTGCCGGGCAGAGAGAACCACAGATACAATCTTGAGATGAGACAGCAAAGGAAAATTGAGCAAACATCACTATAACAGAGTTTTTGAAAATAGTTATAGCAAATGAGTTAATACTTACAAAGCAGTTAGTTCAGTACCTGGCACATGGTAAACCCTCATCTGTTAGCTGCTGTTCGCCAAGTATCATTAAGCTGTTTTTTTTACTGTATTCTTACCCTTGGAAACTTTGGATGTCACCAGCTCTGCTTCTTCCCGTATTAAATGGCCCTGCACAACCACAGCACTCTGATCCTGTAGTTTTCTGGAGTTTTGTCCCTACTCTCCACTTAACGACTTTCTGCTTAGAGATACAGCTTTTCATTTTCTATTTCCTCTCCTTTCCAGCCACTTGCCCATTCTTGACAGCACACTTGTGCCTGAGCTCACACTGCCATCTGTCCTTTCCAGTTTGCTCCAGTCGGTCTGCTAAGATTTAGAAAACTTAGGAAACTCATTCATTCTCTAAACGAGGGCTTAAATTTCAAAGCATTTGTGGAAAGTATTTCATCAGCCACATCTATATTAACAAACATTCTGGAGCAAGTCTGATTCCCAGAAAACCAATATAAAAAGGAAGTATTTTTTTAGCCCAGGCATATGTACAGAAAATCATCCAAAGTAAATAAATAAATGACAGACTGATAAATTCTGATTTTACCGTTTTAGGTTTAATAAGATTTTAGTGTAATAGCCTTTTCTGACGTTTCTTAAGTAGAATCTGTTTTATAGAGTTAAAAAATACATATCTGTCAACTGTAGAGAGCCTTCATGAAACAAATTTATTTTATTGACTTCTCTGCACCAGCTTTTTAGCCACTTACTGGAAGAGTAGGGAAGAAAAGTCTTGGAGAGCTTGGTTAGATGTGCATTCTGTACTCATGATGTAATTCTAGGATTATAAACACTCTTACAGACCAGCCATTTTGTTAGTATTGCTGCCTGTTTGATTCTAGTCAAGTCTACTTGATGTAAAATTTTAATACGGAGTTTTGTTTTTGCTTTTAGTTTTTCTGCTTTTAATCTTTGGGAGGTAATACAAAGAAATTTGCATTTAAGTACATTCAACTTTCATTTGAGTGGCTTTCAGGGAGGCAGCAGAATATGTCTACCCGTGCTTTGCTGTGAATCATAGTACATGATCATAATGTAATGATGAGGATAGGAAGCTTTATTATGTTTATTTCTAACTGTTGTCTTAATATGTCCTTTTGATCTTTAGTATGCTATTTACAACCTGTGTTTTCAATTAATTTTCTCCTTTTGACAGGTCTGAAGAACTGTTGCCCAATTCAACAGTGCCAGCATTCCAACTTTGTTAAACCTACCAACATCTTAAATGGACTTTCTGTGGTGGTACCTTTTAAGAGGCGGATGAAAACTACTACATCAGTTTGCACATTCTAATCACTTTCCAGTATCACAGAGAGATTTTTACTTATATAATAGTCCTAGAGTATGCAGCTGGTAAAACCAGAGGCTACAATCCAGTATTACTGCTAAGAGACATTTTTCATCCACCAATGTTGTACATGTATGAAAATGGTGTACTGTATACTTTAACACACCCCATACTTTGTATTGGAGAGTACAATAATGTAAATCCTAAAAGCACCACTATTTTAGCATAATAAAAGAAAGTCCAAAGAGCTCCTATATAGACTACTCCAGATAACTTTGCTTCTTTGATACTTGTAGCTTATTGTAATTTTTTTTAAGAAATTCAAGGTCATTATCATTGTATTGTACAAACAAGCGCTTTGATTAACACAGCTATATAGTTTTTTTAATTTTTAAAAAACCTGTGGAGACAGTGATCTTGTCTTTAAAATACGATAGTCCTTTCGGTATAATGTCTTAGATTAAAGACGTTGCCTTTAATATCTGTTGGGAAGGAAATGTCCAGACTTTTCAAATCTTTTATTATATGTTTCCTTTTTTGTTTACATAGGGAACAATGTTTATAGTTGTGTGTACAGTGGGGGTCTACAACAAGAAGTGTATATTTTCAAACAATTTTTTAATGATTTAACAGTTTTTGTAAATCATTTTCAGGCTTCTGCAGCTGTAGATTCTCACTGTGAATCCCTTGCTTGCTCATGCATAAGTGTATTTGCAATACCAAATATACAGGTTTAGTATTTTTGCCTGTTAGTGATTGTTTCCTATGTGTAACGTTTTGGTTGAGATGTTAAATGGTGGAAAGAGTACTGTGGATGTGAATGTGGGAAGTAATTTTAATCATGTGTAATTGGTCACAAGGCCTAAGTTGCAGTAACTATTGCTGTTTTATTTAACAATGCCTTGTTGCTTTGTATGCATTAACGTTTGGGTGTAAAGATTGTGTGTCTATCCAACAGGGAGCCACAGTATTTAAATTGACCAACCTAATGTTACAACTACTTTTGAGGTGGCCAAATGTAAACTAAAAGCCTTAATTAAAGTGGTGCAATTTTGTATAACTTAGCATCAGTAGTTGAATAAATTTGGATTGCCATGCAAGGGCTTGCATTATAATTACTTGCCACTTGAATGTGTTTTGTGTAATGTTTAACAGTGCTAGTTAAATAAATATGGGTCTAACTTCTTTTTAAATGTGATAGGTGCATTTTGCATAGTGTGGTTTCATAATTTAATGTTTGGGCAAGCCAGACTCATTTATTAATTACAGAAATGATGAGAGGAAAATGTCAGGTATTTTTCTTAGTATTGTTTGAATATCCACATAACCATCTTTTGAATTTTTCCTTTGGAAAGAGTTCTGTAAATCAAGCAATATTGCTTACGAACGTATGCCTTCTGGGTAGTGTTCGGTAGCTCTTTGAGGTATAGGAGGAAGAATTGAAAATACTTTAGCAGGTGTTTCACTTATGGATTTTTTTTAAACTATAGGATGCAGCTACACTTATGGTCATAAAAATCTTTTAATGAAGTGGACTCAAGTACTACTTTTTATATAATGGGTCTTTGTCTCAGATGTGCTGTAATTCCCGTTCTTTTTTGAAATCTGTAAACAAATCTTAAACTTTCTCAAAATATTTTCCAGCCACTGGAGAATATCAGCAGTTAATTAGTAATACCATCTAATTTAGGGATGTCTGTTAATCCCTTAGATACTTGGTATTTGAATGAGACATTTAGAAACTTTTATTTTAAAAAGAAAGAAATCTTATTCCTTACGTATTAAACTCACAGAGTTCCATGTATTTAAAGGTTCAATGTATCTAAAGAAAAAAATGTGCTCTCAGAAACCACACTTAACACACTTGTTTTGGCAGAATTGTTTTTATTTATAGTCATTGGGAGAAAATTAAATCTGAAAAAAGTGGCATTGTGGAGCATTGAAATCACTTCAATTTGTTATGTCCTGTTATATCTCTTTGGTCCTTTTTGGGGGCACCACCATTAATTCAGTTACCTTAAATAAATGTTTGTTGCCTAACAGCTATGTGCCAGGCTGAATTCTAGGCTCTTAAAAACAGATAAATACTCAACAGATAAACTTAATTTCTCTATCTGAAGATAGAGCAGCAACCAAGATCAACTTAGGACCCTGCCCTCCTAGAATTTATACTCCATTTAGGGTTTTTTAGCCTCAGCACTGTAAATGCTATGTGCTAGATAATGAGTTTTCCCCTCACATTATGGGATTTTTAGCACCATCTCTAGACTCTACCCATTAGATGTAATACTACCCCCAGGTTGAAACGACCAGAATTATCTCCAGATATTGCTCCTTAATTTAGATTCAGGGAAGAGGGAGATGGATATTGAAGGGCAGGATTGCCCCAGTTGAGAACTGTTGGTCTGATGGGAACCAGTACATTAATTACAGATACGGGTTAGGGATACAGAGTGGACGGTTTACTATAGTGAATAAGAACATGGGCTCCAGAACCATATTTCCTGGATTTCTAATCCCTGCTCTGCCACCTCCTAGCATGTAAGCCTGGGTAGGTTCCTCAGTTATTTATCTGTAAAATGGGAGTGTTAGTAACGTCTGTTTCATAGGCTTTAAAGGGGCTACCCAGGTGGTGCTAGTGGTAAAAACTCTGCAACATAAGAGATGCGGGTTCAATCCCTGGGTTGGGAAGATCCCCTGGAGAAGGACATGGCAACCCACTCCACTTGGAGAACCCATGGACAAAGGAG